ACTATTACACTTGTGGGCAAAATGGTAAAAACATAAGGTTAAAAAGGTAAAATGGAAACATATGGGAAAAATGTGTCACTAATGACACTATTTTGGGTATGGAGAAATGCACAAAATGGTTTGGTCATTTCTAGTCAGAAATCTAGTAACTTGCCAAAGATTTCTTTCATCAGAGATTAGATTCATTTTTCTCAAATCGTTCTTTTTGTTGGCTAAGGTAATAATACTCTAAGACTCCTATATGAAAATAAATAGACTATGTATGTGCAGATTATATTTTATGGCGGATTAGTGGGAGTGAAAAACCAGTTGCTGAATGCCTCCACTGGTGACCTGCTGAAGAGAACATTCTGCTATGGGTCCTCAGGGAAGCCCCGCAGGCTCTCGGCCTTGCCTTGGCATCTGTCTCTGATTTCTTGTGCTCCTGACTAATTCGATGCAGCCCAGGCCTTGACGTCTAAATTCTCTCCTTAGTTGATAGGAATTCTTACCCTAATTCATAACTGTTAATTTTGTTTGATGTCTATTAATTCTGCATAATGATTCAAAATTATGTAACACTGGTTTTTAACTTCTATATGAACATTTCTGTGGGACCTACAAATTCAAAAGATATAGACTATTTAGAAAAGGACAGTACAGGTTTGTTCAACAGTTAATTGGTGGCTATTTTAGGGACCACTGCAAAGTGAATTACTACGTGACTTTGAGACACTGAGTTACACAGCTTATGTTTGTAGCACCAAAGATACTCTATCATGTATACACATACATTGTATCTTCAAGTTAGGGTAACCATCTAATTAAAATTAGATGGTTTGTATTTCCTTTCTGATGTCCTACAAATATTCACCTCTTATGAATAAATATTCAAGAAGAGGTTTAATACAAAAAAGAAGAAAACAAAGTTCAAATTATGTGGGATCTTTGTCATGAAAATGGCACTAATGTAACAATACAACCAACATCACAAAGGATTCGAGGAGAAGAAAGATTGACCAATTACTTCGGTGTGCTTCAGTGTGCTTCAAAGGTATAAAGAGACTCATTGTGTTTATTTGATTATTTGTTTATTTCCTCACCCAAGGACATTTTGCCATTGAATTTTTTTTTTTTACAAAACCAGAGAAAGAAAGAAACATCAGTGTGAGAGAGAGAAACTCCAATCTACTGCCTTATTGTATGTGCCCCACCTGGGACTAGAACCCACACACTGGGTATGTGCCCTAATGGGGAATTGAACCTGTGACTACAGGGCAACAGAGCCACCAACTGAGCCACATTGGTCAGGGCCAGACTCATTGTTTTTAAACACATTATATATTCATAACTATGCCATACTAAAGAACTTTAGCATAGTGATTTTTTTTAAAATTTGTACTCTTACCCATTTTGTATTATAGTTTCCATTCAAATTATATTTATAAAATACAGTTTAATTGATAGGATATTTTCAGAAATAACTATTTTGTCCTCAATATAAACTCTCTAAGAGAAACATTATCATCCCTATTTTACATTCAAACTTTTCTTTGACTGCTTCATTTCCAATGGCATCTATCTGTTCTACTGTGGCGACCTTCCCACTCAGTTTCATCTTGATGCTCACCATCACTTATATCCAATCCTTCTTGGAGGTACTACATTAGCATGCTTCACTCATGGTCTATAATCTCCTATCTTTCCAGTTCTTTATTCAGTTACCCCCATTATAACTATTATTTAACTAATGGGACAGTCTAGGCCATTTTACCCTTTCTCTCTGTCCTTTTATGTCTAATTCCTTCCCTATCCAGGTTAGTGCTATGGCAACCACTTTAACCTTGGCTCTTATCCCACTGCTCTTTCTTTGGACAAGTACAGTAAAACATCCAGCCTCGATACATCCAACTGACCATCTCAGCCCTGCTTATTCCTACACTCTTGAGCTCAAGCTGCTCAGCCTGGTGCCATGATATATTTGTGATATTCAAGTTCAGCTGGATCTTCAACACCCAGGATCACTGAACCCTTTTGTGATTCATAGTCAGCAGCTCTCTAGTTCTTTCTAGCAGGTCTTTCAGACCTCCTTTATTCTCATCAAACTCCTGATCCTACCTCTTGTTTCAAAGAAAACAAAAAAAGATATTATGTAACTTTCTGCCATAGATAAGAAAACTAAAAGTCAGAGAGATAAGTAAATTTATCAAAGTCTACAGCTAGTAAGAGGCAAAGCAAATCAGTCTGTCCAAGGTCTTACCATCTACACGTTACAATGCCTCTCATTTTTCTCATTCTCAGTTACTGACCTGCCATTCTACCAGTTCGTCAAGACAGAAACCTATGCTCCATCCTTGACTCTTTCCTCAACGTCATCAACAACCAATCATCTATTTCTATCTTCACTGGCATTTTCCCACAACAAGGCACCATCATCATGTATCTGGATTATAAAAACATGTTTTACATTTGCTCCTACTCAATCTCTTCTCCACACTGAAAACAATGTGAGCATTTTCTCCAAATGCAAACCTACCTTAGCCAACCTAATTCCTATTTCAACTCTCACCAACTCTTTTAAACTCAGTCCCTTAGACTAGAGATAGGCAAACTCTTTCTGTACATGGTGAGATAATAAATATTTTAGGATTTGTGGTCACATGGAATCTGTCCCAGACCTAACTCTGCTGTTCAGCACAAAAGCAATCATAAATGATGCATGAACAAATGGGCATAACTACGTTGCAATAAAACTTTACAAAAAACAGACAGTGGGCTGAACTTGGCCCATAGGCTGTAGTTTGCCAACCCCTGCTTTAGCCATACTGCATCCATTCATTCCATTAGCATTAAGCACTTCCATGGACTGGGCACTGTGTTAATGGCTAAAGATATAACGATGAGTAAAACATGTCCCTTGCCCTTCATGGAACTTAAAATTTAGTAAAGAGGAAGATATTCATTTTTAAATTCCATAAATACATAACACTCCTACTACCACAAGGGAAAAATAAACAGTGTAATGAGAGCCCGTAGTAGATGGATTTGAGCTAAACACAGTTATCTGGAAGAATTGTCAGAGGAAGGCTATGCCTCAGATGAAATTTAAAGAGCAGGGGGCAGAGGGGAGAATATTCTGGGAAGAGAGATCAGCATTTGTGCAGACACTGCAATAAGAAGAAGCCTGACTCATTTCTGGATCTGAAAAGGGATGTTATGGCTGGAATGGCAAAAACAAAGAGGTTGGAGAGGGAGGTAGGGATCAGACTATGCATTCTGGGCCATATTGATGGTTTTCATCTTTATCCTAACTGAAATTAAAGTATTCTAGGGAGAAATGAGATGACCAGCTGTTCATAACAAAAAGAAAATGTTGGTTTGTTTATCACTAAATCCTCAGCCCCTGGTAAACTGTAGAGAATGTATGCAGATAACACCGAGGAAGGGAAGCAAAAGAAAATGTAGAAAGATTTCTTAGGAAAATATCCATTGCTTAGGAGAGATGATAGTAATTTACATTAGGGTAATGAAAGAAATCTCTGAAAGGGACAGACTTTCACCAGAAAAATCAGGGGGGTTTAGTGATAAACTGAATTTGGCAGTGAGAGGTGAAGAAGAGAGAGAGATACCGGGAACTCACTGAGAAGGAGAAGATCGGGTTTAGTGGGGAAATAAGAGTTTGACTTTGGGAAGGCTGAGTATGAGATAACTTTGAGATATCCCAGAGGAGACCTGAAATAACCAAATGGGTATAGGGACCTGGAATTCAAAGATATCAGGGCTAGAAATATAAACCTGCTAATGCAACATATACCTAAGAAGATAGAATAGGACAAAGAGAGAAGGGCCTGGGACTTAGTATTAAAGTATTCTGTCATTTAATAGTCAGTCAGAAAAGGATGAACCTGGGAAAAAAAAGGGGACAGTCAGAGAGGTTCAAAGAAAGGCAACAGAGTGTTGTGACAAGGGAGTCAGTAGAAGAGAGTGTTCTAGGGCAGCAAGTGAGCTTAACAATGTCAGTGCTGCTGAGAGTTCCAGTAAGGTAAACACTAAACAATGTCCACTGGGTTGAGTGCAGTGGAAAGCATTTGTGAGCTTCCGAGGTGCCGATATTCATTATGGTCCCCCTTAAGCCCTCTGCCTATGCTTCTCCCTCCACCTGCCCTTAAAGGAACAGGAGCAGTGAGGTTCTTTTTGCATTTGGACCTTTTGGATTTGGGGGCAGGGTAGTTGGCTAGGTGTGGATTGAGAGAGGGTCGAAAAAAGGGTTTAAAGGAAAAAAACAGGTACCATAGACAAAAGGAGGTAGCCAAGAATTTACAGTCTATCAAAGGTAAGTAGTAAAAAGCAGCAGACTATGTATACAGGCAGCTTCTGCTTGGGAGAAGCTTAGAAAGTATGCCCGAGATAAAGGCTAAAGAGAAAAGTATATGTACTCTTATTTGTAAGCAATGAACAATACATTTCCATAAATTTCAGTTTTTGGTTACCTATAATCACTGGGGGTTTCATCAGATTTCAGGGAGCTCATTCTCTAGCTCACAGATTATATGGTACATTCTAGAGTAACAGAGTACTTTTCTCAAATATAAGAAAGGAAACAAAAAATAACATATGAAATCTTCAAATGTAATTTTTGGCATTTAACTGATATTTAGTATATATTTCTTGAATTTGAATCATTGTAAAATTATGAGCTAATTTTAGCAGACATTATTCTTTTTAATTTTTTTATTAAAGTATAAGCAGTATACAATATTAGTTTCAGGTGTACAACACAGTGATTCCACATTATATACTTTGCAATGTGGTCACCACAGTAAGCCTAGTAGCCATCTGTCACCATAGAAAGCTATTATGCTATTACCAACTATCTTCCCTCTGCTCTGCATTGTACCCCCATTCCCTTATTTTATACCTAGGAATGTGTGCCTCTTATTTGCTTTCACCCATCAGCCCCCTCCCCCTGGCAACCATCAGGACACACTGTTCTTGACCCATATGCAGTGAAATTTTATTACCTTGAATATCATCATTGAATGTGCAATATTGATTTTGATACTTGCTCAGGAGACGAAATGCATTTCTATTGGCAAAATCTTCAAACTGGATAAGGCAATTCATGCCATACCTATGGGATAAAACATTACATTAAAAGAGATTAATGAAATAACATTTAAAAATAAATCTTTAAAAGTAGCCTGGAGAAAAGTCAAAACATTTTTTACAGGTTCTACCTTGCTACTTGGTGTAAGTATGTGATACAATGCCTGCTCAGCAAAGATTTGGTGCAGGCTTACTACAGAAAAAGCATGTTAGTATCGTGAAATAATACACAGGTAATAATAAAAATGTGGCCCCTATCATCAGAGAATTTAAAATGTAATGGAAACTAAATACTTTGAAATAAATGAAAAGTAATGCAAAAGGGGTATACACAGGAGTTATAGATGATAAGAGGGCAGATATTACTTCTGGCTGTGGTAACAAATGCACTGAGTTGTAATAAACAGTTATCATTTCAAAAGTTCAAATGTGGGGTTTTACATGCTTAATAAATAGCAGAAGCAAAATAACTGAGGTGAAAGTCAGAGAAGAAAAAAATTCTTCAAAAATAAGTCAATATTAGCTATAATGTGGAGATACAAAGTGAAAGATAAGGTCAGAATTTTATGCTGGGAACCTTAAAATTCTAGCCCAAGATTCTGGCTTTTATTTCCTATTCATGGCTAAGCACCAGAAGGCTTTGAGCCTTGAACTATACAGGATAGGTTTTTATTTCTGAAATTAACTTGTTTGTCTGTTCCTTTATTCATATGATCATCCACCCCCTTATCCATCCAAGGCAAGAGAAATTAAAATTCTTGATAAGCCAAGTATCCAAGAATTGCCAGAGAAAGCCATAAAGCTGCAGGCATCCTTGCTAATACAGGGTCCCCACTGCTGCCCTATTTGAGTCCTTTTACATGTCCATGGTCAGCTGCCACCTCTGTTACATCCAGTGGCCATCCCTAACCTTCCTCAATCCTTTTAAATCCAGACCTCTTCACTTGTCTCCTACTTCCTGGAATAGTAAGGGCATAAGGATGACTTCCCTCAACTGTTCCCTGCATCTCTACCCTTAGCTCCATTCCTCAGGCCTCAGTGGACAAGGTGTTCTCTTCCTGGTTCTAGGTGACTTCCCGCTGGTGCCCACATTCTCACTCCAACGGAGAGGGAGCCTTCTCAATTAGCTCCCTCTCTCACTTTACAGCTCCTTCTTCTGGACAAGTTCCTCTTACACGATCACTCAGCTTGCAGCTCTCATTAAAGAGAAAACGTTCCCTTGACCCTATGTTTTTCTACCTTTCCATTTCATGACCGTGGTTCACGGTCAATCTCTTACACACTTCTCAGTCCCCTCAGTTTACCCATGCCCTCAGGACTCTACTGGAATTTCTGTTCTGAAGTTAAAATATTTCCTGACTAAAACTCCAATGAACACTGTTTCAGTCCTTAACTTATTAACACTCTTTGTTGCATGGTGATTGTCTTTTTTTCTTGAAGCTCTATTTCCTGTACTTCTGTGATATCATATTTTTCTGGGCCTTTTCCCAGACTTCTGATCATTTCTTCTTTTACCTCATGGAATCCTCAGCCCTTAAACGCTGGCGTTTCCCATGACTCCACCCTTGTTCCACTGCGTGCGTGTGTGTGTCCTGACAGACTCGCAATCACACTCATGGTTTTAACCAACTATAAATACTGACTCCCAAATACGCATTTACAGTCTAGCCCTGTGAACCCCAGACCTGTCTATTCCATGGCCAGCTGGATTATTTTATTTGAATGTACCTCATACTAAAAAGTCCAAAATTGAATTCACTACATTCCCACAATACCTGTAAGTACTCAACAAATACTTGTTGAATTATTATGATTTATAAATATTTTCTCATTTAATCTCAAGGTACAATTTTATACACAAAGAAAGCCTTCAGCAACTGGTAAACTGGGGAGGGGAGATTTGCATAATTTCTCTACCATCTAGCAAGAAACAAAAACAAGTTCCTTTCATTTAATTTTTAAAGCATAGGCACTAAGTAGGTTACAGAAGTTTTCTATATCAATTGTTTTTATTAATGAAATTAAAAATGTTAGCCTAGTCAAAAAGATTTTTTTAAAAAACTTAGTTACTACATTAAGACTCTAACACATTTTTCTCTTTTGATTGAATTCTCAAATATAAGCAAAAATTTCCCAATGTAAATCACAATTACTCTTATAATTTTTCTTCATATTTAATCTCCCCTTCTTTAAAAATATTTATTTTCTACAGTTACCTAAGAAAACAAATTCCTATGAAACTGCTAGCTTTTTCATCAGCATTAAAATATTTTCCTTCTTACATTCCTCTTCCATTTCCTTTTCTTTATATCAAAGTCTTTTTGGTAATGTTGCTCATTTGCTCAGAAAAGTTTCTACAATAGTCCATTAGGTCTTCAAAAGAAATAATATTTTACAGATGATGAATAGGCACATGAAAAGATGTTCAACATCACTAATCATTAGGGGGATGTAAATCAAAACCTCAGTGAGATATCCCCTCATACCTGTTCGAATGGCTATCATCAAAAAGACAATAAATAAAAAGCTGTGGAGAAAAGGGATGCCTTGTACACTGTTGGTGGGATTGTAAATCAGTGTAGCCACTAAGCAAAATGGTATGATGATTCCTCAAAAAATTAAGAAGAGAACAACTATATTCAGTTATTCCACTTCTGGATATATATCTGAAGAATGTAAAAACACTAATTCAAAAAAATATATATACCTCCATATTTATTGCAGCATTGTTTACAAGAGCCAAACAAAACATAGTGTCCATCAGTGGATGAATGGATAAAGAAGATGTGAGATACACAAATATGATACTGTGTGCTGGAGAAAGAGTCAGTGGAACAGATGAAAGATGGGGCTAGAGACAGACAGAAGAGTATTTCAGAATTTAAGATCTTGGCAATAGAACTTTTAGGCCATTAGCTTCTTCCTCTTAATTCATATGTTATTAGCTATTCTTTGCTCATGTATATATAGTGGAATACTACTCAGCCATAAAAAGAATAAAATCTTGCTATTTGTGACAACATGGATATACCTTGAGGATATAATGCTAAATAAAATCAGTCAGAAGGAAAAAGACAAATACCGTATGATTTCACCCATATGTGTAATCTTAAAAAATAAAGCAAAACAAACTCATAGATACAGAGAACAGACAGGTGGTTACCAGAGGGAAAGGGGATTGGGGTGCAGGTAACAGGGATAAAGGGTGTAAGGTGCACAACGATGGCCACTAGATTTTTGGAGGTGATCACTTTGTAATGTACACAAATGTCTAATGATAATGTACACCTAAAACTTATGTAATTAAAAAATAATAGTACTCTCATGGTAAAAAAAATATTTTGGCCCAAATACAAATAGTAAAATAATTCCCATATGAGCAAAGGATAGCTAATAAAATATGAATTATGAGGAAGAAGTTAATGGTCTAAAAGTTCTATTGCCAAGACTTTAAATTCTGAAATACTCCTCTCTCTGTCTCTACCCTTGTCCTCCATCTGTTGCATTCTTTCTCTAGCATGTGATATCTTCATCTTGGTCCTTCCTTTCCTCATTCATTCCATCTTGCTTCAGCTCTGAATGCCAAAGACGGTGATTTCAACAGTGCACTGACTGTCTCCCTAGACTCCCTTGTCCCCTTGTTTTCCCTCACTCTGAATAACCCCCTCAGTCCACTTAGACGGCACATAAGTCCATACTATCGAGTCCCAGCCAAGGACTTTAATCAAGTCCTACAATACTTGTTTTCATTGCTTTTTGGTCCACAACATGACCCCAAAGAAGCTTTTACAACCTTTTTTTTATTCTCCTTGTCCCAGGAGCACTCAATCCCTTACCAGTCACTACCTCACTAAAATTAATGCTATCCAGAGACTCTGAACAATGTTAGCTTTCCCACCTCTCATCCACTTTTAAAAATCTTTGTACTTTTACTTATATTTTCCCTCTCTACTTCTGAGAAGTATTCTTACTTCCTTGTTTCTAATCTTTCTAAGGACCTTATTACTTCAACTTTACTTCTCTGTATTGACTACTTCAATTTCACCTTCTCCACTCATCCCTTCTTGTCTCCAAGAATTCTTAGAACTCCCTGATTTTAAAACCACATTCCTCAACCATGACAAAATCAAAACTATGGTTATTATTCTTTCTCCCACCACCCTGTTGCCAAACCTCTGAGAAGAGAGAGCAATAACTTTTCCTCATTTCTCATCTCTTGTCAATATCATGCCTATAATTCAAGGATCATCTCAAAACATCACATCTTGTTATCATGATACAAATGAGGTCTCCTTCTTCTGATCCAATGAAACACCTTACATTTAAGTTATTTTTCTTTCATTGTGGTTACTAATGTGTATTATATTTGTCCTTCATGAACTTTTTTAATAACATAAAATTCATAGTAAAAACTGGTATCTGAACTTTTATTTGTATTTTATTGATTATTAGTGAAGCTTAGCATATTTTTCCATGTCTATTGGTCATCTACATTCTTTCTGGAAGATTATATGTTACTTGGTTCATTTTCCTATTCTTACGGTCCTTTATTATTTCTTAAGAATTCTTTACAAATTAAAGGTATTAACTTTCTTTTATATATATTACAGATTTCTTACTCTATTATATTGTGCCATTAATCATTTACAAAGTTCCTGTTTTTACAAAAGAAATTTTAAATTTTTAGGGAGTCAGATATTTCCACCTTTTTACTTATAATTTCTACTCTTGATGGTATGCTTACCAGTGTCTTTTCCACATACATTTTAACTATTAATCATTTTTATTTTAATGATATCATGGATTTAGACAATAATTAAGTGCTATATCTGGTATTATTTTTTACTATTTGGATATAGATTTTTTTCAAAAGGAAAGATCAGAATTTGTTTTTGATGTAATTCCCTCAACTCCACCAGCACCGGTTACTCCACAGTCCACCCTGTCTCTCATCCCCTGCAGTAAGATACCATATTCTGATGTACCATCAGGTCAGTTTCTGAACTTTTCTCTTTTATTCTACTA